CGTGATCAGGATCGACTGGTTCTCCCGATCTGTGGAAAGACAGAGAAAAGACACATTTTCCTAGTGTTTATGAATAACAAAGAATTTGACAACTAGGAGAAAAATAAGAACTGAAGCTTCCAGAGAATCCAGGAACAGAAAAGGTAAAAAGCTCTGGGAATTCTAGTGGGTACTTTTGATGCTCCTAGCAATACTTCAGTTATTAGCAACTGGTTCAGTAAAGACATCACTTCAGAGAAGATTTTGTAGTCTTATGCCTTTCCTGACATTGTCTTCTTCTTCATAAAGCCACTTACCTCTTCTTAGCCAAGTAAATGTAATGAAAATATTGAGGTTATACTTTGATAGTATGTAAATTCTTCTGAACCTAAAAGTTTCCTGCATAACCTTAGGAAAATTTGGAGGCATCATTAATGACAGAAACATCTGACCAATCTCTTTCACTCTTTTTCACCTCTTCTTTATAATCCCTACAAATACAGAAATTTTTCAGTCTTGAGATCATCTACTGACAACATTTATTTCTAATTTTTCCATTTTGAATGTACTTCCCAGTTTCTAAGAAAAGGAGAAGTTCTAAATTCCCACACACCTTTGATTTCAATGCACATATAGGGAAGACAAAAAAAAAAAAAAAGTGGAAGAAAGAGGAAAGAGCAGAAAGAAATTTTTTTAAGTCACTCAGTTTAAATGCTAAAAGCTTTATTTTTTTCCTTCACATTATTTTCTGAGGTTTACTTTTCACTATTGTAGTTTATTTTTAGTTGCTGTAACAGATCCGTGTAGGAGTTCCAGACATCATTAAAGGCTATATGTACTTTAGACATCTTTTACATAATTCAAGCCATTTACATAATAATCGAGTGAGGCTTTTGTACCTGTTCAAGGCAGAGATAATCTGTTTCACTTGTTAGCACTGATGCTTGAAAATTAAAATTGACTTAATGCACATCATTTATAGGGGCCATGTCATTTAGCTGTACTGTGTAGTCTCGGTCTGAAACTAATTTACTAGTTAAGATACATAAATCTATCCATATGTGTGAGATTCCATTAAAGTCAGTAAAGTTTACATCACAAAATAGGTGTTTTTTCCAGTGACTTTAGTCCCTCTACATTATGTCCAGGTCTTAGTGATTCTAATGGGAATACAGGCACTCAGCTCACACAGACCATTAAAGCTCAGTGCATTAATCTTCCATTAATTTCACACATACATGTTTTTTTAAGTGGGGCACCATGTTTTCAGAAAATGCCTTGCATTTCCCTCTACAGAGAGATGATTGCAAGAGCAGCTCAAAGGAAATCAAGCACTCACCAGTCAGCATGAACTGATAGGCGTTGTCAGAGATGGAGAAGATGTGTGGAGGGGCCTCCTGGCGCTTCTTGCCTCGGTAGGCCAACACCACCTCCGGGTTGTACACGGGCAGCCACTTGTAGGGGTTGACAGTGACGCAGAAGAGACCCGAGTAGGTCTGCCAGGAAGGGACACAGC